TGGCTCCCTTCCGGCTGCCTGGGCATCGGGCTGTGGCTGTGTGCTGAGTGCCCCAGGGCTGGCCCTGCCTTCCAGGGAGTACAGGGGTGGCTGCGGTGTCATCTGCCACGGGGCACCCGCGTCGAGGCTGGACCCCCTGTGCTGTGCCCTGGCAGAGCTCCAGGAGCCTCAAGGGGAGGAACAATGCGGGGAAGAGCCACAGTCTGCCATGTGAGAAGCCCCGCAGTGGCTCTAGAGCCAGCTGTGTCCCTGAGCCATGGCCACGTGCTGGGTCCCACCCCCTGCTCCGGGCTCAGGCCATGGTGCTCAGAGACAGGGGTGGCCAGGGGCCAGCAGTGCCTGACAGCCCCCTGCTTTTGGCAGGTACCCGCATCATCTACGACCGCAAGTTCCTGCTGGAGTGCAAGAATTCACCCGTGGCCAGGACCCCTCCCTGCTGCCTGCCCCAGATCCCCGGTGTCACATCCCTGGCCCAGTCCAGCCTCGTCAAGCTGGAGGAGCTCAAGGAGCGGAATGAGAGCGAAGAAGCCATGCCAGGTGAGCAGCCCAGCACGCAGCCCCTGTCTACACGCTGCCTGGGGCATGGGGCTCCTGCCTGGCCACAAGGGCAAGGGGAGATCCTGGCTCAGCCCCAGTTCCAGCTCCTGTCCCCTTTGCTTGCACGTTTCTCCCAAGGCAGCCCCATCTTAACCCTGGCCCTGTATCCCTCCATATTCTTGCAGATCAAGACCAGTTTGAGATGGACATCTGAGTTTCCAGCTCCCTGTCTCCAGGCCATGGCTGGGCCTGTTCCTGGGCCTCGTGGAGGTGCTGGCATCGTGACCAGCTGGCTGCAGCCCTCTCTGATGCTGGGGATGGACGTGTGACACCTCAGGCTCTAGCACAACTGGCTGGTGCAATTGCCTAGGAGCTCATGCTTGATCAATAAACACCATGAAACCCCTGTGCTGACCTGCTGCATCTCTATGTTGGGGCTCAGCTGGGTCCTCGGAGCCCTGGGGAGGGGAGCCAAGAGGAGCTGAGCAGCACCAGGAGCAAGTGCAGAGGATCTCCCCCTCCTGCACCGAGACCCTGCAGGCTGGAGGTGGTGAACGCAGGGCCTCAGGGTCTGCTCCCAGGCTTGGGGTGCCACATGCAGCCTGCCCCAGCTGTGGTGGGGGCAGCTGGTGAGGCCTTCCTGCGAGTGTAGGAGGGAGCAGTGCAGTGCAGTCTGCTTGCTGTCCAGGATCATCGTTAACAACCTCGGCTTACCTAACCTGGTGGACATCGCTAGCACCGTGATGTTTCTCCCTGGATCTCCCTGTCCCTGAGGCCACCCAGATCTCTCGGGTCCCAAACTTGGGTCTGAGCTGCGCCAGGATGGGCAGGAGCCAGGTGGGAGCATGGGCTCTAGCTGCAGCACAAACCCTGGCCGTGCCAGGCTGCTCTGGGCTGGCGGCAGGGTGGCCTCCCCAGGCAGCCTAGAACTGCTCGGGGGCTGTCTCCTCCTGCAGAAGAGCTGGGCCATGTGCCTGCGGCGGTGGGTCACTGCCAAAGGCCAGAGGGGGCCAGGCTCTGCCAACTGGTGCAGCAGGGAAACGCATCCCTGCCCACTTGACCTGGGTGATGCTGGGGGTGCTGCCAGGAGGATTCCTTCCCTTCATGTCTTGTGGGCTGGGAACACCCTGCGATGGCCAGAGCCCCTTGACCAAGCCTGAAGCAAGCCATGGCCTCGCCCAGCAGCCCTGTCTCCTGCTGCTCCTGGGATAGAACCATGACCCATCCAGTGCCAGAACCGAAGGGCAGGCTGTGGCCACGGGCAGG